TTTTGTCCCTTGGTGGGACTGTTTTTTTTTAATAAAAAGATCAGATGTTGCGCTTCCTTGAAAACACGACAATCTATGGGAGAGTTCATTAGTTTATGGCAAGTTGCAACACTGTGGAGCCCGGCTGAAAGCAAATGTTATTGCAGAGAGTTATCACTAAGGGGAGAGGAAAATAATGTCCCGAGGAAATAAACTCGACGGAGCAAAACATGGAACAATATAAAGCTGTGGAGGACAGGCAGTAGAGTTGAACACTTTCTCAGAATAAAAGCCCCCAGTCACCTGTTTTTAATGCCAATGTTTGTTTTCTGCATATTCAGTTAATATGTGGGATACATCTGGTCAGGACTCCATCTCTAGTGGGAGTAACAAGTATCACGATTGCAGCTGGCTGAACTTTTTTAATACTAGCACACAAAAATGTCTTTGTGACCATCATTAAATAGTGATAACACCAGTAAAACACCAGTAAAAGTTTTTTTAGAAAACAGTGTGTTTTAATTTCAAGTTCCATGGAATTATATTTCAAAAAGGACTTTCCTCCACAAAGCCCCCCACTAAAATACAGATTTGAACAGCTTTAATGATGACCAGCCTGTCTCAAGCCTGAGCAAAGCTGAAGATGCAAGGGGAGAGGAAATGCCCGCTTTCATAAATCTGACATAGCTGTACACTGCTAGCTTTCTTAGCCTTCAGTTAGTCTAACTTACACCAAGGGCTGAAACTATAGTATCAGGTTTGGAGAAGTGTAAAGGTGAATTCAAAATAATCTGTCACTTGCCTTGCTGAGTCTCATGCCACTTGCAACACTGCAGAGGACTCTGGTTTGCATTGTCAGTTTTTTTCTTATGTTTTCCCCTTTTATTTCCTAACTGGAGAATTTATTGCAACTTTGCTCTTATTTAGCCTCATGGTAGGATGCACAAGTTTCTCCTTCAGGCAGTGGAATGCTGTGCCTGCTCCCAATCCAGCTACCTGCACCCAGCCAACGCGGGGCCCTTGCAGCCTCTTGGTTTGTTTTGAGGGCGATAATTTCTTCCTTGGTGTTTTGACTGTCTTAAAAAACCACCAAAGCAAAATATGGTGCTACTTGAGAAGGATTGTCATAACCGACCCTGCAGCCATGTGTCCCGGGTGGGCAGCACCCACCTCCGTGTGCTGCGTAGCCTGGGAGAAGAGGTCTGCTCTGCTGTTCCAGCTCAGCCTTGGACCTGCAAAGCTCCTTTCTGCAAATGGATGTATTTGCCTGTGAAACAGAGGGTGACTCTTCCTTCATCCTCTTCCTTCCCTCCTCCTCTCACCAGCTGAGGTTTCACCCTGTGTTCCTGAATTGTGTGTACGTTGGTGTTGGGGTGCAATCCCAATAGCTCCCCTGCCTGAGGAGCGGGCTGACGTTTCAGTGGCAGTACAACCCCTGGTTTTAGCTCTGCTGACCTTAGAAATAAGAGGCTGACTTCTTGAACAAGCTGCCTGAGGAGCCTGGGATAGGTCAGAGATTTCTTGAGCAGATCAAAAGCCAGAGATGTTTTTCTGACAGCCCGGGAGCTCCCTGTCATGATTTATGAATTATATACGCTCTGTATGTTTAGCCGCAGAGGCTCACTGGGGGAACAGGGGCTGGTTTGTATAAGCAGGAAAGAGCATGTGGCTTCAGAGAGCCACCATCTACCAAGAGATAACCCCTCGAATGCACTTTCTGCGGAGCCATCGAAGTGCCTTGAGGGACAGTGGCAAATGGAGCCCAGGAGACTCACAGCAAAAAATGTCACAATATTTTAGCGAGCCAGCATTTCAATGGGAGACCGAGTTATTGGGAAGCAGACCCAAACCCCAGGAGCTGGGAGCTCTGGACTCAGGGCAGCAGATCTGCAACCTTCCCTTGTTTCACAAATCCTTTCTCTTTCTTTGGAGCTTCAGCAGATCCCATGGGGTACAGCTCTCCCTTGGTACGTGCTACGTGCCCTGGCAGATTTTGAGTTTCATGTCCTCTTTTGGAGGTTGGATGCCCAAAGGCACTCTGCCGGGCTCCTGGGGCTCTTCGTGCCCTGAGAGCTGTCGTCGCACCAGTGACACTTAGCTCATGTTCTTGACGTTGTCTCAACAGCTCAGAGAGTTGTAGTGCTTTTCTCTCCTCTCCGTGAGACGAGATTTTGCTCAGTCCATGCTTGCGTGGCCTGATCTGAGCCCTATTCCTGACAGACACAGCACGAGGGAGACTTTCCCGATTCTGATGCAAAACAGGGCAGGAGAACTCCTAATTATTAACTTTAAGGCCAGAGTGTTTCCATGTGCACAATACAGTAATCCCTGTATCATGTCCATAACTTCCAGATTATAGTCTACCGAGCAGATAGTCTTGCAGTCATTGAAGGCTTTTGAGCAACAAAAATCCACCGCATCCTGAGCCTGAGTAATTACCTGCTGGAACAACTTTACTGTGTTATGCTCTAACACAAAAGCACCCGGTTTCAGCTTCCAGCATCTATATCTTGTTCTTCCTCTGTCCCATAGAAGAGGAAGCTTCTGCCAGAAAGCATCTCTCTGGGCCCTGGTTATAGATGATGACTAGCTCACCTCCCAGCTCTCTCCTGGCCAAACTAAAGACACTGAAAGCCTTCAGACCCCACACTGTAAGACAGGTTTTCCAATCCTGAACGATCCTTGTATTTTTTTTGTCCTGGGCTAGGTAAATCCAGAACTGCGCTGGAAGGATTCCCTGCTCCCCTGCGTGAGTGTTTGTGTTAGCAGTGGTGCAGCTACAGCTCCTGTCTGCACCTTCTGCTGAGAAAGCCATATAAAAATGCTGCCCTCCGGCAGCCACTGCCACTGGGGAGAAGTTTAAGGGTAGATATTTTGAAGCCTTGCTAGGGCTGGCCAGGGAGAATTAGGGAAATCCAGTAGCTGAAATTTTCAGCGGTCTGTCAGACTACAGTCCTTTTTTCCACCACATATGGACAAAAGCGGTCAGATGTGCTGTCTGATGACCACTCAGCCATGTTGGTGATTAAAGGGATGGAGAGAGGCAGCGTGGAGCACAAACTGGGGTCTCTGCTGCCCCAGTGTAAACTCTTAGGGAGAGCAGCAAAGTCCCTAAAGATACTCAGCTGGCCTCGAGGGAGTTATTCTGGGATACCTGAGATGCAATCTGGGCCACGTTCTCTATCGCAAGTCTTAAATGTCTGTGCTAAGAGGAGCAACTTTGCTGCTGTCACCAAGCCAGCGCTGTTACTCTTTAAAGAGAAGCTGGATGAGTGGTGGGATTTGCTGCTTGAAGAATAACTGAACGTGTATTTTCTGTCATTTTGGGGGACTTGCTGTTCCCTTTTCTCTTAATGTCAATGCAAAATGGGCTCCCAGGCTACTTTTACTGTCTCAGAATGGCTGTATGGTCGATCTTAACACGATACGCAAGGGAAGTGGATGTAGCCCCAGAAAACATATATCATTGTTGAGCTGAATCAGAGAGAACAAGCCTTGTCTTATTTTTTTTTCCCCATACAGAGGCAAATTTTGTCATCATATCACTCACATAACCTTTCAGACGAACTTAGTAATCATGATATGTTTTGGTTTGGCTTCTTTCAGATTAAAACCCTGCCTTTCAGAAAAAAGGAAACCATAAGTTAAATAACTCCAAAATTAGGTATTTCTGAAGGATAATTAGTGGTCGTCTTTCTTACCAAAAACAACCCAAGACTGTGCTTTAAATAATACCTTGTAGTAATTCCTTCAGTTCTGCTCCAAATGTGATTAATTTAGCAGGATGTTATCGGTATAGCATCCTGCATTTCAAACCACACTTTAGGGTATTATCTACAATAACGAATACTATACATCTCCACAACTTTTTGAAAAATCAGCCAGACCTTATGTCCTAAATCCCCCCATCTGGGTGTCTCTGCTTCAACAGTTGCACCAAGGGTTGTATTTGCCTACACACAAATTACAGACCGATCATATTCTTTCATTCCCTATTCCCGTAGATAGGGGGACCCATGTAAAGTGAATGCAGATACAGATCCCTGCCCCCCGTTATTTCATTTGGATGCAAAAATACTGGAATTATAATCCTCCTACTTCATCGCTTTGAGCAAAAAGCAATTTTAGTTGCATTGAAATTTCTATAGCGAGGGGAACGGATCTCTGTTTGTAAAAGAGTTCACTGTAAAAAGTGCCATTGTCCATGCAAATATATAAATATATACTATATAGGGATATATGTGTGTATACACATACATAGGCACTGTATATACAGAAAGACACACACACATACTTAGGAGATGCGTATATAGCACTCACTCATATACAAATCTATTCCCTGTTATGAAACAATCATCAAGATATAAACAAGAGAAGTTAAACCGTGGATGGGCACGTTTTCAAGTGCTGCTGGAGTGTTTCATCTACAGTATTGAAGAAGTGCTATCAAAACCTAAACAGGGCACTTATTACAAAGAAATCTTTACGTAAGTGCTGGAAAGGTTTGCCGAATAACCAGATGTTGTTGCAAAGACACTTCTCCTCCCCCTCTCCCCACTTCTTTCCTTCTTTAATATTTTGATTAATTCTGTGCATGAACCGGGGCAGATAAAAGTTCTAAGCTGCAAACTTCACCACATCTGGACACTGTCGAAGCCAGATCGTTCAGCGGTGCACTTCAGTTGCTTTTAATCTCCCTCAATAAAATAAAAACTTCCAACAAGTAATGCTGACCTATATATATTTTTGCACTGTAAACACTGACATCTGCAAGCTGCTCCAAGCGAGCACGCAGCGCTTTCCACCAAGGCAAATGTTCGCCCTTCGCCGTAAGAGAAATACACGGCTGATGCAGTCGTAGCAGTGTATTCTACTAAATTCTCAGCTATTTCCAATCCTCTGGCTAATTGCTGTCAGGGGAGAAATCAAAGATAAGCTATTTTGCTGGAGGAAGGAAAAATAAACGACCTCTCGGAGTATGTTGCTTAACGTTGCCTAACCAGAAACATTTTTCTACTCACAGAAGGAGAGCAGCAGTAAGGAAAGCAGACCCGGTCTCCTCCAGTAACCCATTTTCTGGATCCCGCCAGCGACCAGAAGCCCAGCTTCACGGCGTTGACCAATTCATCTTCCCTCGGTGCAGCCAGTCTCCTGCGTTTCTGCTGTCAAGCCCGGAGCCCCGAGTTTGTGAGGCTCCCGGCTAGGCTTGCCGGGAAGGCGGACCCAGCCGCTAAAGCCCAGCTGTGTGTGGGGTCCGCCCAGGAACTGCAGTTTATGAACAAACTAAGCCTGACTCTCCTCTTGAAATATATACAAATATGGGAGGGGGAGCCGGGGGAAGAAGCCTGGCTCCAAGAAAAAGAGTTTGTTTTTTTTTTCCGATGACAACACGGAGCTGCTCCCGGCTCTGTACGGCCCAAAGATCTTTGAAGGGAACCTAATGTCTACTGCATGCATCTAATCAAAAAGGCATGGGTAATCCTGCACGCCTCTTTCATCTGAATACAACACGGAAGGTAACGCTTCAATATGCTGAGCTGCCATTAATTTGCTACATTTTTCCCCCCTTTTAGAAATTAACTCTATCTTTTAAGTAAGCTTCAACGGGCTGTATTTTTAATAGGGATAATTGGAAGGTTTAGGGCAGCTTTTTCAGAAAGACCACATCAATATGAGCTTAGCCTAAAGTAGGCGCTTTCGACCCATTAAAGCAGCAGGTTTTAAACATATACTTATATGTTTTCCTGAATCAGGGCCTAAAATAATAACATAGAACATTTAAATAGCTGCTTTCTCTCCAAGATCTCAAACTGCTTGACAAAAACTTCTAAGAAATATTATCCCCACTTACAAAAAGGAAACTGTGAAACGTAGCAGAAATCTGACTTGCCTTGGTTGTTAATGCAATCAATCAGTGGCAAAAGGAGGAGTAAAGTCCTCAAACTCTTGCCCTATGATCTACCCCAATCCTTCAGAATGTGTTGAAATAATGATCAATGTAATCGAGTGTGGCAGAGAAAGAGATGTTGGTATTAAGTTTTTTTGCAGCCAAAATGCTTGTCCTAAGGTGAGGCTAATTTTTTATAGTTATTGATAAATACATCGATCACTTTTTAATGCATACACAGCATTCTAATTTGGTGAGTCTCCAGCTTTTTATTTACCTATTTTACAGTTCATCTTTTACTTCATTAGTCAGTATGTGGTGGATACGCTGTATATGCTTATGTGTATGTGTGATCATTATCAGTGAGCATTTTGCTCCGTTGGACTTGAAGATCCTTTCTTTGTATGAATCTTTCTGATAAACTGCACCCGATTATTTTGTAAACTATTTATATAAATTATTCTGTTAGGGAGTTAAATAATGGTATCCCTTTTCCCTTCTTCTGTATTTAAAAAGGAAAAAGGGGAGGTATTAGATGAGGTGCAGACACAGCTGGTAAATATAAAGCATCTCTCCTATGCCATGGCTACACCAGCATGCCCCTGCAGAGAGTTGCTTGGTCTGCTCCCATTTGCTTCAGGGTGCCCAGATGCAAGCCAGCTTAGCCTGTCCTCCACGGAGAAATGGCCATATGTCCCTGGGGTAACAGAGCAGAAAGCTATGTGGATGCCCTAAGGGAAGATACCACCCGGGGTACACAGAGAACGTCTATCTGGAAGAATGAGTCTAGAAACGTTTGCCTGACCAGGGGAGCTGCCTCTTGCTCACAGCCCTGAGGACATCAGCTTGAGTCCTAGGCAAGGTGCATCATTGCTCTCCCTCGCTTGGCTGTCTTTACATCAAACTGGGCATCTTTCTATGTGCTATGTAGTATGAATCTAGAAGAGATGGGTTGGCCTGACTTACAACAGCTGAGGTATGGCCTTTGAGGGCTAAGGACGAGCAAATGTTTAGCAACCTTTCGGAAAGACATTATTTTCCAATAAGCGTATTGAAACTGCTGTGTGCACAGTGGTTTCTTTGGGTGACCTGCCAACTCTCCTCTTTCTGATTCAAAGCATTTCAAAATGCCCAGAGATCACTCAGACTGCCGGCTGGATTTTCAGATGTGAGCCCTTCTGTGTGTTACAAGACAGCTGCATAAGGCTTATGTTAGGAACATCACAGATTATTCACGATCCATGGGAGCCCTCTTTAAAATCAGGAAGAATCCCCCGCTGCCTATGAAACTCAGAGAGAAATAATGTCCCCAGCAGGAGCCCGGAGGGGCTTTAAACAACGGTGGACATTGACAAAACATGCTGTATGATTTGGAAGTGCAAGGGAAGCAAGGGATATTATTTTTTTAGCGGCAGAACCTGGGAAGGCAGCAGGAAGCCTGCACAACGTCCCTGCAGCCAGGGACCCTGAGCCGCGGGAGCTGCGTTTTCCCAAAACCCAGGCAATCCCAAACAACTTCTGGGCCAAACTGAACCCTGTAAAATGCTTCATCCTGTCTGCAGAATAATCTTAGTGAGAGATTTGGGGCCGGAGCTCACTGAAATGAGAGGAAAGGCAGTAGCTGTCCCATGCAATGGCATCTTTACAAGGCAGTTGGGTTTCTACAGGAAGCTCTGCAAGGGGAAGCTTTTGGGGAGTGATGTTTGTCCCTCTCTTCCTAAACATCTGTACTTATTTCTAGATGGTGTTAGACCTGCTGCTTGGTAAAACATGGTGTTGTGGTGACATGGGCAAGGGTTTGCTTTCATAAACTGGCCGCTGGGCTCTGCAGGCTGCTTTCTGCACAGAGGGAACCTGTCTGTTCAGCCCTTGCTGCGTGTAAGATTGCACGGAGCTAGATGTACCCTCCTGTAACCTGCATTTTTGGTCCACTGAGCTGAAGCTATTGTAAGCAAACCTCATCTGTAAAATAGGAAGAATGTGAGGCTGGGAGCTTGTTTCTTTCCTAACGCTATGGCGTGAGTCACCCTGGTTTGAGCAGGGAGCCATGCAGCATGGGCCCCACTGACCTGGGCTGTTCTCTGACCAACAGCTCTGTTCTGGAGCCCCTGCTTATTTCTCAGACCTTATCCAAGGAAGAAATGCAAACTAAAAATCCACCAAAGTTACTCAGGGAAAAGTGAGTAAGAACTCTGGGATTTAGCCTAAAGCGTCTAAACTCACATTATAGAGCTTTGCTTCTACGAGAGAACACAGTGACCTTTGGAGTAAGACATTGGGGAGGAAGAAGAGATAAATGGTTATTTTTATTGTTGGCTTGTTTATGCCTTTTGGTGTAAATTCCCCTGCTCCTCTATTAGTGGTCTAGACAACCTCATAACTCAAGACACACTGAAGGCTGGATTTAGGCTGAGGAACGCAAGGTCTCTGCAGGGTGATTTTTAAGTTGCATTGTGGGAGCAGTTTTCCCAAAGTTCTCATTTAGGAGCTGGAAGATATTTGCTAGAGAAGTAAAGTAAAACTTTGGCCACCTGAAACAATATACCATATATTTAAAAGAAGGTTTCAAACAGCCTAGGTTTCCACTGTGAGAGGCAAGGCTCTGCAATCAATCAATAGATTTGAAGCTCCCAACATATGCACTAAACACGCTTGTGCACAGTAACATCATGATGGACATGTGCCAGACCCAAGTGAGTCAAACCTCTTATTCTTCCCAGGGGCAAAGACCACCTTCACGTGACAGGGGACTTGAAGGGAGAGAAGGGGAATAAGGGAACCATGTAGCCATGTCCCAGACAGTGCTAACGCAAGGGCCAAAGCTCCTGAGCTTCCCTGGACCTCCTCTGTGCCCACTAGACCCCAGAGAACATAGTAGGGGCATTGGGTTTAAAATGACTGACTACAACAAGAGGTGTGGGGTTCGCTTCTGCATCAGAAGATATTCCCTTGGCTCTCTGGATTGCTTGCATGTTACATGACTGGACTAATATCTGTTGCATCTGCTTCGTTCCTTTTAATCTGTTGATACCAGTAGTGATGTTGGGCTTCAGATAAGGTCCATGAGTGTTTCTGTTGTGAAGAGGATTTGTCTTATACTTCAAAGTTTTAAAAGGCAGGTCTAAGGAAAATGGCTACCTGATAGGATCACAGACTTGTCTTCTATTAGTGAGCACAAATCCATACTCTTAATTTATGTGCGCATATTGTGTGGTTGTATTGAACTACTCCCAAGTTGTCCTGGCAGTTAATTAAACCCCAAGAATTTCAGTGTCATCACTTCCGCATCTTATAAGCAACATCTTGGTTTCACCATGCCATCAGCAACAGTTGCCTGAGAAGGATGCGCACCCTGCACTGTGGGTCTGATCCAGCTGGCATCTCCATCCTGCATCCACAAGGATACTGGCTCCAGTCCTGGGGCGGTCGAATAAATTCAAACGCCATTGCCTGGTGGGCACTGAGGATGCCCATTGCTCTCTGGGAAAAGTTCTCATTACCTTCCCGCTGTCACGGTTTCACAGTGTTTTGGTGTTTGTTGGAGCTCATGTATGCGGTACTATGGTTTGTGCTCCCTGCTATCACCTAAGGGAAAATACCATGGCTTGACCTTTGGCATTTTCCATTCTCTTGCTACAGCTTGTCCCAGCAATGGTGTGGTAACCTTATATGATCAGCTAGTGCAAGGAGTGCAATCAAATCCAGCAATGCATCCCAAGGGACACAGCTATACCTCCTTCGGGCACAGGTGGCCTTGTCTGCATTGCCACAACCACTTCTCCTTAGCCCTGCCAACTTCCCCATGTTCCTGCATCTCAGCTAATGCTCGTTTTCGTAGCCACGCAGGATAAACGCATTTACTAAGTGATGCCTGACTTTTATTAGGGTCTTTCTGTAGTCCAGAAACAGCGTAACTTCTAATTTCTCTCAGACTGCGTGCAACAGGCTCCTTGACCAAAGCTGCATCAAGATTAAGTAAAGGCCTAATTTGCCCACCTCTACCATTTACAATGTTCCTGAGTTGGATTTTTTTTCCTGTTCAGTTCTGTCCCGAATCTTCTTGCTTTCTCCCTATGAAAGTTTTTCTCATTGCTCTCTTTTTGCTGCTTTTGAAGCCACTTTCAGTAAACTTTCATTCATGCTACTGATGTGCTTGTACAGATTCTTTCAAAAATGTGGATTAGTTTTGGCTTTCTAGTTTGTATGCATGGATGGAAACCACTGCTACCAATTTCAGTCAGAGTGGGACTGGGTGCTTTCTTTTCCTCCCCTGAAAGACACCCAGATCTCTCTTCCACTCTCCGTTGAACTTTCCCTG